AACTGATTCATTAATTTCCCTTTTAGATTGCTCATGGCTAGGGTACAGAAACACAACATAATTTTTGTGTGTGGATCTTGTACCATATATATATATATATATATATATATATATATATATATATATATATATAGAATTTATTAGACCTCTCAGCTTTCATGTAGATCTCGTCAGACTTTTTATATGTAGGATTCTGTCACTGGCAAATGGGCATCATTTTGTACCTCTCTTTTTTTTTAAATTTTGATGGCTTTATTTCCTTTTCATGTTTAATTGCTCTAGTTAGCGCAATGTTGACTTGAAGTAGTGACTGCGGACTTCCTTATTGCAGCCCCCTGGTTTTGAAAAAAAAAAAAAAAACAAAAACAAAAAACAAAAACTTCCAGTCTTTCAACACTGAGTGTGATGCTGGCTGTAGATTTTTCACAAATGCCCCATCCAATGTTGAAGGCATTAAGAGAGGGGGAGTTTGAAACAGTACTCACAGAAGTAACTCAAGACCTACTAAGATGTTACCCTTTCTGGAGAGACTTTTCTGTTGTTCTTGCCAGCTCCCAGGTTATGCAGTACAGGACTGCCTTTGCTGTGGGTTGTGTTTGAGTTTTCAGGGCACCTTTACTCTTAGGGTTCAGCCATTTGGGGTTCCATAGCAAGGCAGGAAACTGCATTACTGAGTCCTCAGTTCCAGAAACTTCTAAATTTAAACTCATCTTTCTAATCCTGTACTTCACCCACCTTGATGATTTCTTCCCCTCTCAGATCTTGGCCTGCTGTTCCTTTATTTTCTCCCTAATTCTTTGATGCATTAAATACTCCAAAGACATCCTGTTCTAAGTCACCTTGAGCAGATGTTGCTAGTTTTCCATTCCCAGAAAAGGGCGTCCCTTGCACCATTACTTGGGAGTAGAGACTCTGAGTACAAGTTTCTTCTTGCTTAGAGGGGACACAATGGGACATATTCATTTCTCACCCATTTACAGAAAGGCACATGCCAAAAGGAGCAAGAATGGAATAAGCTGCATGGCAGGGCATGGCATTTGGTCTACATTACCCAATTCCTCATGTCAAAAAGAGGTAAGTAACTTGACTTTCATCAAGACGGTTAGTAACCTGATTTGTTCTGCTCAAAACAATGGTTTTAGTCATTTTGTCTAATCTGATCTAAGCAGGAAAAGAAGTCGGTTTTGTTTTGTGTTTTTTTGAGACAGGGTTTTTCTGTGTAGCCTTGGCTATCCTGGACTCCCTTTGTAGACCGGGCTGGCCTCGAATTCACAGGGATCCACCTGCCTCTGTCTCTCCCAGTGCTGGGATTACAGGCATGCACCACCATGCCCAGCTAAAAGTTGTTTTAAGTTAGACCAGGAAGTTGCCCAAGCTCTGATGTAATACTGCAGTTTGTAAGAGACAAATCCTGAGGATCAAAGGGGTTAGTGAGATGAGGGGTTGGTGAGATGTTAGGAGCAGAGAAGGAGGGTAGACTCAGACAAGCACAATCTTCTCCCCTTATTTTCATTTCTCCCTTTCTTCTTGATTCATGGCTCCATGCCCATGAAATCAGCTAAGCTTAATCATAACTCCAAATTCCAAGATAACTGCAGCCACCATAGTCAACAGAATCCTAAAATTCTGTGAATTTTGGTGCAGTGGTGTACGCCTGTAATCCCAGCACTGAGGAAGGCCGAGGCAGGTGGATCTCTGTGAGTCCAAGGCCAGCCTGGTCCATGACAGCCAATGCTACACAGAGAAACCCTCCTTCAAAAAAACCAAAATCTGAAAACAAAACTAGACTCCCTCCTTCCCCCCCCCCCCAAAAAAAAAAACCAAGGAAACAAAACCAATTCTGTGAAACAATGTTCAACAAAATTATAGACTGGACTCTCACCTGATGTCACAAGCAACCACACCAGAATGGCATCACTCAGGCTGAAATGCCAACCTGAAGGAGACTTGCTCATCTCACTTCCTGGGAAATGTCCAGCACTTCAGTGGCCTGATAATGGCATCCCCTCTGCTTTAATCCCTGTCACAAGGGGAATTTTGAAAGCACCAACCCTTTGGTTGGGTGCTACTTTTCTTCACCCGTCTTCATTTCTCTGTATTGTTGGTGCCGCAGAGGAGAGTTCTTACGATCCTGAGGGCTACCTGACTCACAAATTGCTCTTTATTCAAGTTTGTTGCTAAATTATTTTGTCCTGAGCATGTTTTTTAAACTAATAGGACTAATTGTTAGAACAGCACAGTAACTTAATTTCCGGATCAATCGCTTTGGCTCTCTCCGTGTCAAAGTTCCCAGCAGAGGTAGACATTTGGTAACCCACTTCACTCGCGCATCCTGCTCCTCAGAACTGTCGGCAGGCCGCCCATTAATTGAAAAACTTCCACTTTACTTTGCAAGCAATTTAACTAATAAATGAGAATTTCCTGGAGGCTAACACTTAGCACGTCCTCCGGTCCAAACCATCACCGGCACTTCCAAAACATCTCCACATCTGCAAGCCTTCACCTAACCCAAATCACTACCACCCCTTTGTCCCATCGCCACCCCTCACCCCACTTGCCCCCTCACCCCCCGTTGCCCCCCCCCCCCCCCCCCCCCCCCCCCCCTTTGACAAGCCCATAGCCATAGTCTCTGGATTACAGTGTGGTCAGAGAGCTCCTTTCCAGACGCTGGGGTGGCAGGTGTAGCAGTATTTTCTATCCCACTGAACCCAGATGCAACTGACTTTAAGGCAATTATCTGTGTACTGACAAAGTCCCCCGGGAGACCAAAAGTCCCCCGGGGGTCTTGTCTGCTTTTGCTTGTCTCCAATCTTCTCTCTGGCAAACAGTAGGATTTTAACATAATTTTGACTAGTATTCAATGTGGAGAAACTAGTAATTTGCTCATCTGTTATGTTGATTATTTTTCTTTTGATGTCTTAGAGGCAAGGCCTCTGCTGGTTTTGTTCACTGAGGTACTTACCTCTAAGAGCTTTAAATGGATGGCTTCCGCTTAGACCCCCAGTCTGAACCGGTTTTCAGAAGAAGGCGTGAATTCGTGAGGGAGGTGAAGGCAGTCGAGTATCACGCTTTGATATTGTTTCAAGCACTGACAAAAAAAAAAAAAAAATGCCTCCGTGAGAGAACTTCTAGAGAGAAAATACCTCCAGGAAATTGGAATTTGTACCGGGGCGCTCTAAGCACCTGGCCAGAAGCTTATTCATTTCATAAAGAACTGGGAGAGATGGGAGCAGTTGGCCACAGGCCAATATTTGGAGGTCATCCACTTTATCCTGGGATTCCCACTCTCTCTCTCTTCATCCCTTGGCCATCCAGTTAAATTGGAAAATAAATCCCATCCCTGGTAAGGTGTTGGCTGATAAAGGCTTGAGCTATTGCCCCTTCAAGGGGAATTTGCATTTTAATAGAGGCTCGTCTAGCCCCAAAGGAATCAATATCTCTACCGTTGAAATTTCAAGCACCAGCAATTGAGATATTTTCAGAGGACACTGTTCAGTATTTCCAATCCAACAGCGTGGGGAGTGAGGGTGGGGGAGACGAATGGGGACGGGCGACTCCTTAAGACCTGCCAAAAGGCCATGGACGAATGGCTTTTGGCTTTCATCCTTTCAACTTTGCTTTTCTTTTTGGTCAGTCCTTCATACTTCCAATACTCTAGGCCACTTTCAACACTAATAGGCTTAAAGTCCCATCAACAGGGCAACAAAGCCATTACGACAACCTAATTTCCAGGTTTCCTTGCAATTCCCAGGAAGCCAATCATTAATAAAACTGGGGGCAAGAGGGTAGGTACATCGGCGGTTTAATAGGCTAATACGGTGTCATTTACATTTGCTTTGTATATTATTTTAAAGTTCAAACTTGGGAGTTGTTTTCTAAAAAGCCCCGCAAAGGAAAGGTAGATAGAAGTCAACTGCGTGCCCCGGGAGGGGAGTGTCCTAGGTGACTGCTAGGGAGATTCTGGAACTGCAGGAAAGCCTCTAGGCTTATCTTGGTCTCTGCCCTGCAGAGGGACTGGAGGACGCTGAGCCTCAGGGCTCAACGCAGGAAATCCACATCCCAGGGCTCTAAGCCCTCAGCCTCGCACGTTCCCCAACTGGTCTCCCACGCCTCGGCCAAAGGCTCCCCCTCGGAGTCCGCCGCCCTGGCCGGTGTCCAGACTCCGTCAGCTCTCTTCTCGGGATCCGCCACCGCCCGGGAGGAGGCGCCTACGCGGAGGACACACCTGCGACCTCTCCGGCTCCCCGCTGCCAGCCCGATCCCCCGCTTTGGCTCCTCTATCTCTCCGGAGCCCAGAGCGCAACGACTGGGCTCGCTCCCGAAGCCCGCGGCGGCTCGCGCCCGGCACGGCGGCTCGCGCCCGCGCTCGGCCCGGGGAGCGCGCGAGCGAGCGAGCGAGCGGGCGGGCGGACGGGCGGGCGAGCGGGAGAGGGCGCAGCGCGGCCG